TGAAATAGTCACATTGGACGGACTTGTCTTTTATAATTGTAACTGTTAGTGTGACGGACCAAAATTAAACAAATCAAATATTTTTTCAACAATTTTTAAAATTATATGCTATTCCCCACTTTACACTGTGTCAAAGTGCAGATGTATGTAATATGGTTTTTTGTGTGTAAGTGCCGCATTTCTTCCAAAATTTGTAATTGTGAGTTGTATGTGATCAACAGTATTTTAGCTTGAACTTTCTCATTTCTTCGTACTGCATTATAAAACTGAATCTGATGTTTGTTCCTTTCAAAATTCCACACACATTCCGTGTGGCACAATTGAGGTTGTCCTTTCTCCATTTATTCTTAGCTACATTGAACCTTGAATCTTTGTCATTAGCATCTATCTTATTTAAGAGTTGTATGGAACTTGAGAGCACGATGTTTCCTCCTGATTAGAGGTTGGTGAGATGTTAATTAGTTAGCCCCTGGACACATTGACAAGGGAGTGGTTCTGCTTTTTTGCTTATATTTTTGGTTTACCTATTTGATCTCTTAGGTTTGGTTTCTATCCCCTCCTCAAACTTTGTTATAATGATTTTACTGTTGTATCTTAGTCCTTTGAGACTTGTTAATGAAAGACATAATACCATGGCAAAGCGAGTCTGAGGGTAGTGTAGGAGAGGTTCTTGGAGGAGCTTTCTATTTGTTGCGACTGTATTGGAAAAATAAATAATACAATATATTGCATCACAGAGAACCTTTCTGTAAAAATGGGCCAGATATTAGGGTGGGCGATGTTGTAGCTCAGGCAGGTGAATACCAGCTTGAATTTGTGGTGGAGAAAATGGCTTTGGATTAGATTTTTGCTTGGTACTTCAGTTTCCCCTGCCAGTTCTCATTCTAACCAGCTTCTTTACATTCATCAATCATCCTATCATTGATTTATGTAGTCTCAATACTGACATCATTAAATAACTTAAAAAAATTATTAGGATGACAAAGGATGAGCTGGACAAAGCATGTGGTACAAATGGAAGGTGAGAAATTCATATATAATTTGGTCTAGAAACATGAAGTGGAGACACCAATTGGAAGATCTGTGCATTGGAGGGAGATTAATGTTAGGGTGGACATAAGTCTCTTATTATTCCGGCTGATAAAAGTTAATTCACTTTAGTATGAGAGCATGTGTATTGATGAAGTAGTATTGTGTCTTTCAAAGAGAGGACTCAAGTTTACCTGTGTAAAGTAAGTACATATGGTGCCTATTGTCATTTATATCCTAAAGATCTTTAACTTGGACTTACATGAAAATAAATCTATGTTCAGGTTGTAACTGTCTTTAAATCTTGATCATAACATTTTCACGCTACAGACTGAAAAAGGGGTATTGGTTGCTTTTTGATAACTGTTATATGGTAGTGTGTCTTAAAAACCAATGTCCTTGGTATGATCTCCGGATAATAGGGTATTATGGACAAGTGACATCTCTTGCCCTGGCTGGAAATCAAACACACAAACTTCCACTTGCTGGTGGATTCTCTACCAGGGCAAACCAGAGTAAATAACTTGTTATGCCAGGGAGGCCCCCTGAGACAGTGGACACACATGTATTTCATTAACAAGAAGTGTTTCAGTCTTAAAAATTTCATTTGCCTTATATTGTACTATTCCATATTTCAGTGATATATGTGATGAAGTATTTCATGTCAAGAATTTCAGTAAATGAGTATTCTTTGTTGTTATCTGTCCAGCCTTGTTTTAACTTGTTGGGGAATAGAAACCTGAAGCCATACAACCTTTTCCAGTGGTCATTTATTTGCTAAGATTACCTTTTAGTTTAATTTAAAATGTGCAAATGTGTTTGTTTCATTGCATCAATCCAGCATGCTGTAGAATGCCATTTGGCTTCAGATTTTTATTTTTATTGTACACTTTTTATTTTGCTATGAATCTAAATGAGTGTACCATGGTAAATAGTTTGTTTCTTATGCAGCTTGTTATACTGGAGTGAGGTACTTTAAATGATGACTGCTGTGTTTCTTGAGGTAACTGCTACCTTGCAACATTTCACCAGTGCATGTATTGCCTTTGCAGATTGCATTTGTATGTGGCACTTGATCTTTTGTTAAATTTTATTTTTGCTTTGGTAAAATGTGATACTAGTCATTGTGTAGTTGTGAGTAAAATGGTACTGTACAGTTAATTTAATGAATATTGATATGATCCAGGCAAAAATATGTTCATATTAAACTTCATAACTTCTGAAATATTCTAATTTATATGATGATTTTATGTAATATTGTGAGAATCTTTTCATTTTAGTATGTGCCTTGGGGATCTGGAAATTAACAAAACAAAATATGGAAATACCGTTACTCCTGAAAACCTTCTATGTGACGTAATTTTAACTATCTAGCAGTGAATTGTACTGGAATATCTGAGATATTATTAGAGTATATTGTGATGGAGGATGAATGGCTTAGATATTTTAACCATATGTGCAATTATTTCATGAACTATGAAGTGTGTACCAGCTCAGATAAGTAAGAAGAAATAGTTGCAATGGAATCTCAATTATTATTATTATTATTATCATTATTATATCTGGTTCATTAAACTGAGGAAATGAATAATATATTATGTCATCACCTAGTACTTTGTTTCTAGGGAACAATGTAATTGCCAGATTTTCCAGACAGTTTAAAGTACATGATTATGCACCCAGTATTTTTAAAAGTGCCAAATAGTACTCATATGAGTTATGAGGTTTTCAGGGTGGTTAAGATTCATATTGTGGCTGTCTGGATTATGATACTGTGCAGTCTTGTGAATGGCTGTCAATGTTTCAGAGGAACATACTGTCACCATCTTCAGAGGGAATATGTTTCTCCATGACATTCTTACCTACCTACCAGACTACATTGTATTGTAACCTACAAGTCCATTGAAGTATTAACAAATGTTTATCGAAGATATAACATCACCTTGTCTGAACATGTACTTGGCAGAATGGTATACCTCGCCTAAAACTTCAAAATTATTTTTATATGTGTACTTCAGTTTCAAAAAAATTTCTGGACCAGATTATGGCTAATATACAGTATAAATTTTCTCTCACGTGTAGCTGTGTGAAAATTATTTATTGTGCATATTTAATATTTTATTGTTTTTAAAAATAATTTTAAATGATTGCTTAATTGTATTGTTGTTAGTACATATTACATGTACTCCACTTATGGTGGCCACTTTACCTCAATGACAGTCATTGTTCAACTGTGATAAGCTGGTGTACTGTAGAGTTGTTATCTTTTCAGGAACTTAGCTCCTTTAAATTCCAGTAACTGATTTAGCATTATTTCTGATTTATGATGTGAGAAGCAGAAAGTAAAGTTATAATAAAAGGAATACATTTATACTTTGTCTCAGAAAGTAATTTTTCTTTTCCCATCCAGAGATGCTTTCAAGGCTTGTGCACACTGAGTGTACAGAAAAATGTTATTTAAATCTTTGATATTCCTGCTGTATTGATCTCCCTTGTCTTAATACCAGGCTCACAATATTACTGCTTCCTAAGAACGTTTGAGGTTCTTAACAGTTCGGACAAACCATATTTATACGTACTCTTAGAGAAAGAAAAAAAAACATTGCTTATTACATGGTGAATATGAGACATGTTTCTGTGTATCAGATCTTCACAATACCAGGATTCAACTCCTGGTCCATTCTGTTTACATGAGAATCCCTTTAGGATGCTTCTGATTTTTCCTTCATTTGCTTGTATTACAATAAACAAAATCTCTCTGTGGGTACAATTACTGGTCTGATTCAGCTGGTATTCTGCAACTGACCAAAAAAGGAAAATGGATTATTTTTGGTGTTCAGTTCTTATTCTTAAAATGCATACATGTTACCAAGGTCATTGCTGCATAAATAAATTGTCCCAAATGGAATATAATAGTTAAGGTTAATGAAAACAAGATACAAAGAATATTTTACTTGGTCCATGTACCCATCAGAGCAGTAAGTGGCATTAGTGTCCATTTGTCTATATCCGTCTAAATTGCAACGCTTGTTTTACACTTCAGTATATTCTTTAACACTTAACACTACATGTTTCGGCCTCAAAGGGCGATCTTTATGTGTTTTATTACAGATATTCAATCAAGACCTTGTTAAAACTGCTACACTGTTTCGCTGTTCCATTTCATTTTAAAAACCACACGATGCAGTCCTCCTTCAGTTAAAACGAGATAAAATTCTTTTATAATTTGTTGTTTCACTTCACTCAGGGTGTCACTGCATTTGAACTGAAGACAGATTAACAATTCAAGACAACTTATTTTATTTTTGACTATTTTAATTTCTCAGCATTTTTAGGGGAAGCTCTTGAATTTCAGTAGAGGCATGTAAATTATTTGAGAGGGAAGCAGATGCTGTTCAACCTGACCATTATGGGGAATAAAAAGAAATTTATCCTTTTCTTTAGTAATAATACTCGTAAATATATGATAAATGGAATATTTTACCCTGCAGTTCATTTGTGTTGACACATGTAGAGATATTTAATATGCACGGTTTAACACACCCACTCATATGCTCAACCCTGATGAGTGAATAATTGGGCTTATGAGTGGAAAATTCTTTTACTTTTTCGTTATTACTCGCTTCCACTCTCCTTCTACAGTCTATCAGGGTATGAAGGCCTTTGTTAATGTGACACCTATTCTTTTCTAGCAAGATGCAGTGGAAAGATTAAAGGACAATACCATTACAGCAATGTTGGTAGGCATGCTTTCTCTTGAGGAGAAATCTTACGAGTAAAATGTATGTTGACCCCTGCTAATGTATGGAAGTAACAGATGTATCTGTATATCGCAGTGAACAGTCGGCTTATCAGAATTCTGTTGTGTCTGAATTAATGTATCTGCATTTTTTAAAACTGAAGTCTGAACTGTCATTATAAGAGAATTGGAACAGTTACATTAACCACTGGTAAACTTGTAATTTTTTCAGGTACCACTAACATAGCTGCACCATTACCTCAGACACTTTCTGTTCAAGCTGCCAGTATTGTAGAACCTGCCATGACCACTGACATGCCAGTATATTGTAATTTAAACAAGATTGATGTAACACAAACAGTAATAGATAAATTTCCAACACAACCTGAAAAGTGAGTAAAGTTATCCTATATAGGAATAATCAGATAATTAAATTGGACTTAATATAGAGCTCTTACACTCAGATGATTCATAACCACTGTTATTCATAATATTTTATAAGCCTGCCCACCACTGCTACCTTGTATGACAATTTCTTCTTTGTATGAACAGAACACCAGGAAAAACAGCCACTAAGGTGATAAAATAAGTGGTTCAGACCAGACGGTATCTTGGTTTTGCTACATCACAAGCTTTTGAGATTCAAAGAGATTGTAATTCTTTTTTATATGTGTGTAACAGAAAGGAATATAAGCTGTTACAATATACAGAAAATTACTTACATTCCAAGTAAACGGTGTATCTGTATTACCATGTTACTTGCAAGCTATCAGTAATTTCAAATTACAGTGCTCATACATCATTGCAAACCTTAAGTATATATAATTGTTTCTGTTTTTTGAATTTTGTTTCAGATCTGTACCATGAAGATAGTGTCTTAGTATGGATGTGGAAGTCGCTGTTTTTACCATAACTGACATTAAAATGCTGTAAAGTGCAGGAAAATATAATATCCTGTATCTGCAGTGTGTGTGGTATTGGTATTGGATGCAAACTGAGTAGAAAAAATCCATTAAATACGAATATATTAACAATCCCAGAATGAAATATCTGAAATACAATAGAACTGTAATTTGTTGTCCCTCAGAGATTCATCAGGGATAAATTCAGTGTAGTATTGAAATTAATAGCATAGACTGAGGAGGTTCAGAAATCTTGTCAGTGTTCAAGAATAGAAGACAGGCAGAGAACTCCTAGCCACAAATGCAGGCATTGGACAGCACTACAGGCATCAGTAATTGGGCTTGAAGATGGAAGCTGAAGAATAATTAACTTGATATAAATAAATAGCATGTTCCAACATGTCTGTAAAATTGAGGGCCAACAAGTAAAAATGATATACAAATGTTATTGTAAGAAGTCTGAAATTAAAGTTGCAGGGAAGGATATCCATGGGATACACTGAACAAGATGTTTGGTGAGGTACTGGAAGACATCAACAAATAAGAAAGAGCTGGCAAGAAAAAATAAAGAAGGAAAGATCTTGGAGAGAAAGAAGAAACTGGAGACTCTTTGCCTATCAGTTATGCTTAATGAAGATGAAGAAGAGGAAAATGAAGTCCCAGTATCCATTAATGTCATGAGAAGAAAAAAAAGATTTATATATGGACTCAAAGAAGAATTGAAAATAACATTCAATGCCCCCTTTTAACATCAGCTACAGTAAAAAAGAAAACTAATTGATAACAAGTGAGGCAGTATAATGCTTTCTGATGTTCATTTGTCACACCTCGTAATATTCAGTAGCTCTTCAGCAGACTATTGGTAAATACTATATGTACCATAAATGTCACATATTTGTAATTCATTCATATTGTCATGGGATAGAATAACTATGGACAGGGTTTGATTTGGTAATTGGATTTATGGAACACCTACAGGTCATAACTACAAGTAACTGTATCGCTGTAGCTAATTCATATGCTCTACAATTCACTAAAGCATGCACTAAACCTTCTGAATCTTTGGGTCAGAGAACAGCAGGTGTGAGTGTGAGTAGACTCATGCCGAATTATGGTGCAACAAATGTGGTGCCTACTCAAAAAACCCAATCGCACCTCTTGTCAAAGAGAATGCCTCTACTTCAAAACATGTAAATATTCTTGGAACAAATAAAAATTGTGTATGGGTGCTAGTGGGGCCCAGAACCAAGAATGAGTGCTGAAAAAGGCCAGCAGAAAATTACTGCTCTGCTCTGCGCTCTCAGGACAGAGACCGATTGGGCCCAAAACTAAAAATGACTGTGCTGGTAAAGGCAAACGGCAAATTACTGCTGTACTCAGAGTAGACACAGAAAGTCCAATGCCTCTTTTCAATGAAAAGGAGACAGAATTTCAAAACCCATAAATTTTTTGGAAAGAACAAAAATATAGTCATTCCTGATGGGGTTTGAAACCAAGAATGTGCTGCGGCAGCAAAGTATTGCTCTGCTCAGGGCATCAGTTGTGAGACGGGAGTCAATATTTGTAGCCGCTGATTAGCCATGAGTCACTGAGCATGGAAGCAGAGCAATCTTCATGGTTAGAAGGTGCTACCAAGCAATGAATATGCAAAGATATAGCAGACTGGGAAATCTTGGAGTGTGTATTAGTGAAAGTTCTGTAACTGTTAGTAGAAATGCATAATAACCATACATTAAATTCAGTATTCAATCCAAACCCCGTGTCTAGCCACTGACATAGTTTGCCCCAAAATATTTGTAGATAAGAAATGGAGGAAATATTTACCCAGTAAATGTCATGTATCTCAGATGTGAAAATTCTCACACTGATAAATACTAGGGGTACAGCCTTCTGGAATGTGAGCTCATGTATTCTGGTAGATAGGTAGCAGTGTGTCAATGCTGTTTTCTTTTTCAGTGCAGACATAATCACTGTGTAATATAGGAAAAGGAATGCTAGGATTAGATGGCCAGTTACATGCTCATTCATACCACATGCACCCATTGGACTGCATAGAGCACTATCTCATGATTTCCATTCCTGTGTTATGTATCACTTTTCACTGCTTATCTTACTTCAGTCCTGAAGATGGAGGCAGTGGGTTCCTCAGACTATTCAGCATTGCATTCTGTGTTAGCTTGTGTATTTTTTTTAATTCGCTTAGTGGGGTGTGGAGTCCAACTAGTCCACTCGACACGGCGGCCACTGATTGGCTTATTGTAGCCTGCCCTGGGTGATTATGATGATGGAGAATTTGGTGGAATGAAGATTGGCAGGGGAAACTGAAGTACTCAGAGAAAACCTGCCCCAGCGCCACTTTGTCCACCACAAATCCCACTTGACGAGACCTGGATCGAACCTGGGTCGCCGGGGTGGGAAGCCAGCGACTAACTGCTTGAGCTATGGTGCAGCCAAGTTGTGTATTGTTCCCACAGTCACTATGGATCACCATATTAAAAAAAAATAGCTGGCCTCATGACAAAATGATATGCCCATCTGAAAGGAATATAATGAAATAATCATGAATGTGTGATTGTAAAGCAAGTGGAAGATTTTAAACTGGAGATTATCTTTAAAAATATATAACTCTGCAGGAAATGAATGTCATTAGTAAGGCTTACTTAATATAAGCTTAGACATGTTACATTATGCATTCGTAGGTGATTAGGAAAGATTGACAGTTGAAAGCTCATTTCTGTGAAATGTTTTATCAGAAACACAAAGATTTTTATGTTTTCTTAATATGAAAATATGCAGATTATAATACTGTTTTTTTTCCTAGAATTGTGTTTCATGTTACAGAATCTCATGTTCACGTGGTAAACTCATTGTTGTATGAATATTTCCATGCATACTTTGAGTATTTCATGTCCTTCATTCATAGCAGCATAAATCTATGTGATTGTCCTCAGTGATGCTGCCTAAAATAAGCATACTGAAATTTAGTCTTCCATATGCCACAGATAATATAAAGGAAACTGAGTTTTAAGAACAAAACAATAACTCTTATATATCATTTTAAATTATAGCCTCCAGTCTTAAAACTTATTCATTAAGCTTAAAAATGTTTAATGTATCTCAGAAAATTTATATGAGAAATCCCAATTTCATGATGCATTTAGAATGCAGTGCGTGTCTGGCATGAGTAAATGGATTGTAATTGTGGTACCTTTTCCTTTTTTATATTAGTTGACTTAGTTATGGAGTCTTCTCCTAAAGAAAAGGTAAATTAATGAAATTACTATGATGAAATTTAATCATATAAAAATTGTATGTCCACCAACATTAAGAGTATCTGCTGCTTATATGATGCCAAATTATTTTTGATACAAGGAGCATATAATGTTGATGGTGGTGTACATATATCTGCATACATCTACATATGTGGTGATGCTTTATTGTTGGCAGCTTGAGCTGAAAGTGTTAAAATAAATTAAAATAAATTGTTGCAATAACTAAGAAATATTTGAAAATAGTATTATGTGATAAAACCTAATTTATATATAGCTCATTCCCAGCTGACTGATCTTTTGGGAGCAGTCTGGTATTCATTGCACAATGTCAGTCAGTGTAAATGTTTCCTATGCAGGACTAATGTAAGTACTGTTGTAGACTGAACATATGTAAATAAAACTTGCTAAAATATAATAAAGTCATTAGCAAATTTTTAAAAGCAAATGTCTTATTTTTTTCCCTTTCTTGTCAGTAAATGTGGTTGGTCCACTTCATGACAGAGAAGAACAACACTTTTTTCTTCACACTGAAGATCGCGGGTTCATGTCCCGATGTCATTGGTTTTTTTTTTCAGTTGACCTAATCCTTCCAGGAATTAATTAAATAATTTTCCTCGGGAGTAAAGTGCGGCTGGCACGTAAGGCTGACAACCTTACCGCCATGTTTGAGCCGACTGTCTAGATAATGTGGGACCCTCAACATCTCGCAACCCTATGCGCCTTCATGACCTGGTACAGGGATAGCTTTACTTTTACTGTTAAGTTGTAAATTTTTATATTTTGAGAATGGAACAATTCTGAAAATTTGGGGTGTTTTTGTTGGGTGTTGGTTGATTGCATGCTCTCATTTATAGTCCAGTTTGTTTTCCTTATCATACCTTGGTCATGAATTGTTTGGGATATATTTTTCAACTGGACCACCAACCAAGAAGGGTGTGAAAAAGGTTTTGATGTGTGCCCAGGCATATCTTGTTTTATGTCTAGTGAGTAGGAGATATCAACTTTTTTTTTTACATATAGTGAGTAGGAGAGATCAAGATGACTTGATCAGCATAGTTGATAGAACATTGGTGACTATCAAGGGACAAGTAATTAAATTTCTCCTTTTTTATTACATGTGCTTGCATACATATATATTGATTGTTTACATGAGCAATATGTAGTAAATGTTGGTGTATTACCTATGTACATTTTGTTATCTAAATTTGGATTCTGGTGTATGGCAGGTGTCTCCACCTTATAGATCTGATCCAGAATTGTATCTTGAAATGTGTATTAGTTGATTTATTTTGACCAGAATACCATTATTTATTATGTTACTCATTTATGGCTGTTGGAACTGATATACGAGGTTCTCTGAATAACTGTAGAAACTCACTGCTCCTCCCTGGAACAATTAGTGAGTGAGTTGCATTGGGGTACTGGTCATGTTTTGTGTCTGCTGGTTAGGGCAAGGTCATGCTGTATTTTTGTAACTGAACTAGTCTCTTTCATCAAGTTACAGCAACAACTGATTAACTGAATGAAGATTTATGAATCTTTAGGTAACTGCTGTCAAACAAATTTATGTTGGTACTGAATATGGTATTCAGGCGATTGTATTATACAATTAAACTGTGTGTAAAGAACAGACATGCAAGGCCCAGACTCACTTCAATTGCTGTTTGTGAGTTGATACTGACATTCACTTTCACTGTCTATAGTTTTGTCTTTATTTTGTACCAGTGATCCAGAATGAAGAATCATACGCAGATCTTTGTCAGAAAATCCTAAGTGACTTTCAACTAGAAACAGTTTTCTTGTGTCAGCTTTTCTGAGCATTTTAGGCTTCTGGTATTCCCATGGTTTTCCCCAATCTTTCCTAAAACTGGTGGCTTCAGAAAACTATCCATTGTGTTTTATGGTTGTGCTTGACAAAGATTAATTCTGTCATCCATTTTTACTACTTCCTTTTGTACATTACAATGTATTGCCCAATTTGTCGAAATATTTTTCTGCACACCTGTCTTTCCTTCTGAGCTTCGTTTCTTACTTGCCTGCCTGTTGAAAGTAGGTTCAGATGTGTCATCCGTGCCGAACAGTGGGGTTATGCAACCCTTTTCTTAGCAGTGGCTTGGTAAACACACTTCCGCATAAGTGGTGACATCACACAACAGTAGATAGTGACCAAGTGACATGTTTTCTGTAGGTCCGCGCCGAAGGTTTATAGGGGACAACGTAAGTTGTTTGCAGGCAGTTGTAAGGTGGAGGAGTAATAGATGGACTTCACTTGAGTTCTGAAGTTCCAAGGGAACAGCAGTATGGCAAGAGGAATTAGAAGACTTAGTCTGACACTGCATGTGCTGTAGTACATCGATATTGGGGATGTGTAATTTAGTTAGACTTTTATAGTTTTTGTGTTATAAATCCATCGCCAGGAAATGGATAGTGAAGACTATTTCTTGACCAGCATCTTTAGGGACTTTAATAAGAGAGTTTCTGTATTTCTCCTTTAGCTGCTTATGCTTTTGGGTAACTAACTATCATCAGCACACACATCCAAACTCACAATTCATTTCAACCTTAATAATGGGACATATACACTACATTAAAGGCACCAGGGTTCAATTACCATTTTGTTAAAAATCCAAGCACTTAGAAACAGCTATCAAAGAAAATCAAATGGTAACAGTGGGACAAATATGTTAAATTTATCTGAGCATATTTATAATACATACAAATTATGTTTGGTGTTTGTCAATTCCCACATCATACTCCCAGGGTTAAGAACTGGAAACAAACCAACCAGATGAAGAAAAATGTATTAAGCAGGATTTAATTACAATCTACAATACAGTTTAAAATGTCATACAAAAACTGTTGACCATGGCAGATTCATGGGTTGTGGGTTTTGCAAATAGGACATGACAACTGCAGAAATAGACAACCTGGAACACAAAAATTGGAAAATGGTATCATTTGTCAATCTAATAATTTCACTAATAATATAGTCTTCTTCTTCCTCTTGGAACTGGTCATGTCTCAGTCCTTCAATTGGCAGAAGAAGAAAACCGACAATGTATGTATGTATGTATGTAACAAAAAAATTACTTACATGAAACTACTTAGAATCTGTTTTGTATCATCATTTGTTCGTGAGTTGGCAAAGCTGATGAAGGAACAATACAGTGCCACCCAAGCACACCATTTTAACTAGAAATTCAGATCACACAAAAAAATTAATATCATACTGCCAAAATTTCTTTCAGTTGTCAGTATGGCAAAAGTCTCAGTTTGAGGAAAATTAGATTTACTGTAAAATACAATAAAAGACACATACACAGACACCTGCTATCACATAGTTCTTAAACCTCTATGGGATGCTTCCTCCCAATGGTGGAAGATGTCGTTTATTTCTCTTGATTGTATGTTCTTATTGTTAGTTGTGTAGTTTATGTGCGTTCTGTGTCGTATGTACAACATGACCCAACACTGGTTCACAATTTTTAACATAATAACTAATTTTTTACATACAAAAGATTTTTAATACAATTTTAAATAAATAGGGAAGCTATTTTATGGAAAAGTGAACATCATATTGCGTGCAGTGGGAAATCCCAACCAGAATACCCAGCAAATATGCTTAAACGAAACAACATCATATGTAAATCTACACTTCAAGAAGCGTCAACGTGAATGCATAAGGCAAACATTAAAATTAACTGTGATATAGTGAGCATTATTCATAACCTAAGTGCATATTGTTAAAACATTTTATGTGACAGTGTTTCCTGAACATAGTGGTGCACCTCTGAGGATGATTCTTTTAAATCCAAACATGTAAGGCGAATAAAGACTGAAGTGTTGTAAACTTGTATGTCACACTGGACTGAAAATTATCTACTTTGTAATCAGCTGGTTTTGAGTATATTCACTGGCATCCTTCAGCATTAGTGATAAACTTAGGAGAGAAAAGCTCCTGCATGTTCAAAAACACTTACTCTCATCATTAAGCCGCACATGCTGAATATCATGCCTAAAATGTTCATATAATCTGGTGTCAAATCCTCTCCTGGAGCTGCCTGGGCACTTGGTGGTGGTGGCTTGTACCTGAAAAAAAGTAAATTCCTTAGACAGAACGATCAATGTTGTATTTCATTTCTCGTTAACCTTACATGACAAGTTATCGTTAAACTATGAGAACACTGCGTAAAAGGAATACGTATTGTATTCTTAAACTCTACCGATGCTGTTTATCAGGTCTTCTTGGATCTGAGCTACCTGGCCCGTTCCCATGCATTATTTCAGACAATGAATATTAAAACTATTAATTATAAAACTGTATAACCTAACACCAATTACACCACCACTGTTTTCATGTCACGCAATGAAATCGATTACAACTCTTCTCGTTTGTATATCGATTCACTTTCCTTGCAAGNATTTCAATCACAGTGTTCAACAACATCCAACACTTTTTACGAATATTCACATTTAACACTTAAAAAAAATTAATATTGTCGTTTGCTTTTTCGCGGCATTATCCTTTTTACGGATATCCGTACGAAGCGTACGTAATATTAGCTTGTCCCTTAATAAACTGTTCACTTCACTCTCAAGATAGTCTCGTATGGATTCCAAATGATTAAGAGCAGCACCATGTGATATTTTCTTACTAGCAGCACTGTCCACCTCTTCCTCATTCTCACTTTCTTTCCCGCTCTTCTGGCTGCACCCCCACTGTTCCCTGTGCCCTTAGTTGATTAAACCAGAGCAGCACTGCTTTGTCGGGAACATCATATGTTGATCTTTTCATGGTTTTTCTCTTCTTCATTCCGTTTGAATTAGAAGACGAAGCAAAGGAAATTGATTCTTTTGTTTTTTCAAATCACGAACAGTTTGTTCTCCAATACCGTATTGCAGTGCTAATTATTTAACTACACCTCTTCTTCCCAACTGATTGATAATTTCAAGTTTCTGTTGAATACACAACACGCCTCCTTTTACACCCTGACATTTTGCTAACGCACTTGAAGATCGATAGAAAGAGACTAACTGGGGCGGTGTATCTGTCCTTGAAACTTTCCACAAATCCTTGCATTCTTTCATCCCTACCCTAGAACATTGTGTTAGCATAACGGGACCAAAAAATGCAGAGCTCGGTTCACACTAGTTCGAAAATAGTGTTACAACTCACCATGTCAAACAAAAGCGAATGAATATTAAACAACATATAAGAGAGTTGAGTGTATCACATTCGATCATTTTTTATCACGTTAGATTAAGGTTGATTGGCACCGGCTTACAGCAACAGTAGAACAGTACGTCACATTGCATAACGACAGACCAGTACTGCCGGACGCCAGGAAAAATGTATGGAGTATACACGTTCTTTTCTTATGAAAGCAACATATGAAGGCATGCAAGGGATAGCGTTTGCTACCGGGGCCCCTGGGCGTGAGTGTCAGTTCTGCGGTGCACCCCGTGCGGGAACGTTGCCGAAATGTCGGGAAAACTGTTGCTTATGTTATGGGAGACCAATACCGTGCTGTTGACTAAGCTTTATCAAAGTGAACCGTGTAAGATTTGAGGTTTTCAAGGCGGTGACTATGAAGAAAGCAGTCTTCTGGGATTTGGCACCGTGTATATGTGGTGTTAACCGACGTTTCGGAGGAACGTATCTCCTCCATCTTCAGGGTAGAAGAGAAAATTAAGAAATCTGCAAGCGAAGAGACCGTGAGAACCTGTGCACGCAGACCGGTGTAGTAAATAAACAGCTATGTGAGAGCAGCGGGGGGGGGCAAGTCTACATGGGAAATCAGTGGAGGGGGGAAGGGGCTGGGAACAGAGGCAGGGTTTTGTGTAAGATATTGTGTCGGGGGAGAGAAAGGCAAGGTTAAAGGGAGGGCATTAACCCTTAAGCTGGAGGTTGGGGTTGCTATGTTAGTCGGTCATGGCCTGTGTAGCCTTGTGGATCTGTCATCATGTCCCGGGGGGGGTTTTAGGGAACAGATGAGAGGCTTCCATGACTTGCTGAGACAACCCCCCCCTCCCTCTTCATATTTTCGGGATGGAGTTCGATCTCAATGGCTTTTCTTCGCTTGCGGATTTCTTATTTTTCCTTCTACCCTGAAGATGGAGGCGATACGTTCCTCCGAAACGTCGGGTAACACCACATCTACACGGTACCACATCCCAGAAGACTGCTTTCTTCAAAGTGAACCGTGTTTGTATGACGTGAATTCCGACGACTACAGAAATCGTGACTTGCGAACTGCAGCAATCAAACGTATTGTTGCTGCATTATCAGTTGACGGCTTCGGTCCAAAAGAAGTTGCTTCAAAATTTGAGAATTTAAGGAATTCTTATTCGCAAGAGTTGAAGAAGATACAAGGTAGTCAGAAATCAGGCGCGGGAGCCGATGGTGGTTACGTTCATAAGGTTTATTGGTTCGCTGCAATGGGCTCATTTCTCCGCCCTCAAATGTACATCCGACCTTCAAAAAATAATATGGTAAGTATTTCCTTCATTAAAAATAACAATAATTTAAAGTTATTTAATTAATTTTCTTGAAGTCCTGTGAATGTTTTTTTTTATTTTTTTGTGATGCAGTGGGTTTTTAAGAATACGGTCAAGGAGCTCAGCTGAAATTAATAACGAAATTTATTATTTTCAATACAAACTTTTTTTTTATTTTTTTTTTCGGTACAAAGCAACCATGAATGAGATGATGAGCACTCTAATACAAGAGAAAACATAAATTCAGTCATCAAATCTATAAAAACATGTTCATCTAACTCAACATTTGTGAACCATTGTTGCAATCAAATTAGATTAGGTTAGTCCAACAGCTCTTCTTTGCCGACTATCAAGGGGACCTCTGAGCCAAATCCAGGACATTTCCCGCCCAACAGTAGTCTCTAACGCCTCTGGTAGATGGGGGAAGCATCGAGATACTGCTGAGCCAGTAGAGGCTGAACTCGCTGGCTGAGTCGGGACTGATGGCACGCACCAGTACCGGTAGGGTATAGAGACTGGTAGACTATCACAGGGGGACGCACAATGGACCAATACTGGTCTAAGTGCATGGGGAAACCCATCCTCTCCAATAACAACAACAACACCCTCGCCGTTAAAGTAATGTCGTCACATATCCCGAATATCTTCTGCAAATGTACTAGCGTGTTGGTCACTCGTCGTTTGAAGATTATGAATGCAGTTTTGAACTTCCGTTCTCCATGTTCCTTCCATTACATTTCCGTTTCCGTCCTCCAGATCAGCGTTATTCCGAGTGAAGTACGTTGGATTTATTTTCTTAAGCCAGTTGTGTAACATACAGCAAACTAAAACAACATCGTCAACTGTGAATGCAAGGAGAGAACAGTGCCCTGGGGTTCAGTGAAATACACGTAGTAGTGAACTGAAATGAACTGACATCAAGATCGTGTCAGACTGAAAATAACTGCTCAAAAACTAGATAAACGTTACTATAATATGTGTTGAGGATACAATAAACATCTGATATCGTAAACAAAACATCCAAACTTTCCTGTGTTTTCACCATTTTACGCGACCATATTTGGTTAAGAAACTATTGTATACATTTTTAGATAGCCTTGGGTTAACTTGAAGCTAGATATTCATAAGTATTGGTTATATTTTGACTCATTGTATAATAATTACGAAAATATGAGTAAAATTTTATATCCTTTTTCATTCTTTGTAGTAACACATAATGAATTCAGGTACACATGGAGGCCATTATATCGTGTTTTTCGTACAACAGAGTAATATATGCTATTGGACGGCTCTACAGATAGAGTTTTTGATCGTCATAGTCCTGATTTGCCGAGGCAACTTGCACTGTAGGGACACAGGACCCCTTAGTCTGGATCAGTTTAAATTTAATTAGAATTGATTAGAACTATAATGGTTTATACTGATGAGATTAATTGTTCTTTCCTAAACGATGATTTATGGTGGGTCACAGTAGCCGAGCGGTGTAAGGCATGTACTGTCTTCGCCCGCTTTGAAACCGGGATCGTGGGTTCGGATCTGTTTCCTGTGAGGTACGAACTGAATTCTTATATATTATTCTTATACACTGCCGGTCACGGTAGCCGAGCGGTCTAAGGCATGTACTGTCTTCGCCCGCTTGGAAACCGGGATCGTGTGTTCGAATCCCACTGAGGGCATGGATGTTTGTGTGCATTTTTCTCTGTTTGTGTACAGGTAGAGACCTTGCGACGAGCTGATCACCCGCCCAAGGAGTCCCACTGAATGTGTATGATCTAGAAAAACCGAAGTGAACGGAGAAGTTCATGGAGGTAGGCCTAGGCCCACTGGGGCCACTGGGGCTGTAGTGCCAATGGGGGTGAAACGATGCTTTATTATAGCATTCCGCTTGAAACACCCAACATTTAACTCTCTTGGAACAGCTTTAAGATTTATTAATACCGATTACTAATGTACGTCACGACTGAACAAATATTGCGTTTTATTACGGGAATAGATTACTCGATATTTAATGTTATCCGACTTAACTTGAACTTCTTTAAAACGTCTTTAAGCAAAGAATTGTAAAATTTTACAATGCATGTATGACTTTTGCATTTATAAAAGTTTAGTTTTGCATTTTTTTTTCATATTGTTTTTACGAACTATATATTGTTCACATGCGATTTTTTTTCCCAAAATACAGTAATGAACCAGGTTATATAGATATTAGCTCGATGTTCTAATATTTTTCGTATTACACATCGTTTTCGGTTATCCAGTCACCCTTCGGCTTAGTTGGAGGTTCGATAATTTGCATTTTTTTTTGTACAAAACCTTCCAGTTGTTAGGATTGGCGAGGAACACACATTAAACCCACTATCTCAACCTCTGGCTCCCTTCACAAGTTAGTGAACGCCGACTGTTTTCATCCGCTGCAGACTCTTAATTCCAGGCTTCTTCGCTAAGGTTCAAACCCAAAGAACACCCATTGTGTGCATGCCCGCCAAGGGCCTAGTCTCGCAATTGTTAGATATTTTCTAGATGGTGTAAACTAGTGACAAATATTCGTATAGTAAATGGCCTGCTGACGTGGTGTGACATTGCATTAGTGCGAAACAACCTTAGTTATAATCGTAGATAACATAGATTATGGTATATTGGGTTCAAACCTAGTCAGAGTCTGGGTTACTTTACGACTGACCGTTTACCATCAATCAGTTAGTCTTTATCTGTGCAGTCTGAATTTTATGTCCACAATTTTTAGGTATTTGTAATAAACCCACTATAACACGTTTTATTGCATATATATTGCATATATATATGTAGATGTGGATATATAGCAGATAAATTCAAATACCCTGAGAATGGCTGTGACCCTAAAATGAAACATTTCCGAGGAATTGTGTTAGTCTGCGCGATAGACGGCGATAGATACTGGCCGAGATGAAAGGAAGACTGGACAGTAACTTCATCTTATACATTAATATAATGAGCGCGCTAGTGGCGCGCTTAAGAAAAAAAAATCGTTAGGTTGACAGATACGAAAATGGACTTTGAAACTTCCATGTATATTTATAATTTACGTATCTGTGCATCCTTCTGCTGTTCACAGGGAATGTTAAGATAGAAATTTTCTACCAGATATTTTAAAACATTTACAAGGAGGGTTGAAACGTTTGTATGAAAATCAGTTCTGAATTTTCAGTAGTTTTAATATGCATTACCTACAACCGTCATTGGTATAATATAAAACTGAAATGTATATTTTTCACCAGTTTAAATTCGTAAGAATGATTTGTATTTATACCATCCCATGTATTTCATACATCTTAATTTAATTTAATAATTTATTGTATAATTTAATTCAAGCACAAGGATCGTTTCACATGGCCAAATTAATTTTGAAGAACTAAGACCCTTCAAACTGACAAACAAACTGTCATTATCTGCAGATGTAACTGCAGTGACCCATTTTTAGATACTGTGTGTTTTATTTTATTTCCATAATAGTTTTATACAGAACCAGCATGATCTGAGGTTGCTGAAGATCCTTACACAGTCAGTGTATGTTACTATATTTTTAATGTTATATGTTATATGTTATGTACTATATTTTTATTTCAGCATGTGACTGGTAAATAAAGAATGCCTTATTTCTGTTGAGTTCTGAACTGCTGCAGATTATTATGGGATTTATTTATTTTTCCATCTGCATATTTAAATAAAATTAAGTTTAAATTGAAAAGTCTTCTTGCATAAGTATAAGAAACCATACTTATTTATTTTAACTGATTTTAATAAATTAGGTTTAACATACTTTACTTACTTTGACTGCATTAAAAATTTAGTCCCAAATTCCAGCATTAATTAATAAAAGTCCCTTTATGACAACTTAAGTTAATATATATATATATATATAGTATTTATAGTGTTGGCTGCACCTTCTCATGATGGCCAGTAATTGCCAAAAAATATAAAGGAAAACTTTTATATTCTCATATTAAATTTGTCATACTTGATGAATTCTACTGCTTATTCATTTATTAAGAAGTGTAATGGCTCAGGATATCTCCTACATAAAATGTGACTATGTCTTACGTTTGTTTCAGTGTCTTTATCTGTTATAATTATATGAAAGTGAACAGAGAGAGTGATGTTGTTTGGGGCAGTTTTGAGCCACTGCTGAAGAGTAGGCAGTTTGTTCTTGGCAACTCTCAAAAGGAGGACGTTATCTTATTTCATTACACTGTGTCAACCGTAGACTGTAGTATTTTGAATGGCATGGCATGTTCTCAATAAATTTTAATTTATGTACAGGCAGTAGTCAGTATCTGCTTTCAGCTTTTGTTAGATAATATTTCACAGCATAACATATGTTCTTTACGTGCTACGTCATAGTAGCGCACAGTTGGTATACCTAATAACACAAATGAATTAAATTAAGGATATTTTCATGTTTTCCTTTATATATACTTTGATAGCAATATATAAGCAAATTGTACAAAAAATTACAGAAATCTCACATAAATTATGTACCATGAAACACATTAAAATGCAGATGACACAGTTCTTTATACTGATAATGCTTATTTTTCCAGGTTATATACAGGAAAAAAGAAATGTTTGTTACATATCCTAGATGTTTTAGTAACTGCATAGTATTTAAAGTTGCAAGATCTTTGTCATCTCTCTCCAAGGATATTAATATTGCGGGTTCTGATAAAATAAAAGCTTTCGAAGAAATACCAGGACCAGTAAGGCTACCAATAATTGGAAATTTGTATCAATATATGCTGGGTAAGTTATATATGCTTTATAATGATTTGTTTTGTAAGCTTCTATGAAAGATACATTAACAGTGTGTGATGTAAATTTCATACCTGTATGGGAATATATATCTATATACTAAACTGTATATGAATTCACTATATATGTTATACACTGCAGAGAAACAGCAGCAATTCTAAAGAGATATGTAGAAGAAAACACCAATTACATAATGAAAATAATGATATTTGATTAGTGCACAGTGCATTAGATTCCTTATAAATAATGTTGCCCGAAAATGGCCTTATATGGCTGAAACATGTAGCATTGTAATAATGCATATATATTGTAATTTTTTATAATTTGAATAATTTTTATACGTGTAACGACCACTGTATGGATTAAATGTGAATCATTGTTATTAATTGTTATGTTATCGATGGAAACCATAGACTATAAATTGGCCATTCGGGCCATCATTATGTATATATGAATTATGCCAAAACTGTTTCACTGTATACATTATCTTCCATGTGTGAATGTGATGTTAATTTTAAATATTATTTAACATGTATAATTCACTAAAAGGTTCACTAAAATTCATTAAAATTTGTTCACTCTCTTGAGCTGTATATATTGCATTTAATGCCAGTATATGGGTACTGTATATATCTGTATATATTATGGTGGCCTGCAGGTGTAGATACCAATGCACATATTTTAATGAATTTTAATGACTTTTTTTGTGAATTATACATACAAAATAATATTTGAAAATTAACTTCACTAATTCACACATGAAAAATAACATATACAGAGAAAGAGTTTTGGAAATTTGATATATACCTGAGATGGCCACTTACAGTCAACACATGTTGTAAAGATATACATATGAGAAAAAAATAAATGTTGCACTTTGGACTGTAAAATACAAAATTTATGTTTAGTTCTGTTTTGGTCTAAAATGTTTTCCATATTAAACAGTGCATTTTTTGTTGTAGTGAAGGGGAAAATATGTAGAACTGCTGTTTTCCCAAACTTAGTACATATCTTTGAAGGAGGAATAGTGGTACAATACATTTTAGAAATATGTATGTTTAAGCATAGCTGACATAACCATATTAAAATGTGCCTGAGTGGTTTGGGTTGTGGTTTTGTTGGTTCAGAATAGGATATAATAGTGCTGAAAATATTTCTGTTACTACTACAAATTTGGAAAATGGCAAGGAAAATAATTTACTAAACCAAAATTGCTAGTGTACAATAAAGCATCACACCAGAGTTCTATGATCTCTGTTTTCAGTTGGAGAAATTAACAACTTCCTGTCATCTATTTTCAGGGAAGTATAAAATTGAGAGGTATCACAAAGTGTTGGAAGACCTATATAAGCAGTATGGACCTTTGGTAAGACAAGATTTTGGGACTAGCACAGTCATTCATGTATTTGATCCAGATGATATCAGAACTGTTTACATAAATGAGGGGTCAATACCACATGTTGTTCCACTCCAGGAGACAGCACAGTTATACAGGCAGACACGGGGTATGTCCCTTGGCTTAGGAAATGTGTAAGTACCTTCATAGTTAAGATAGGAAACAAAGTTAGAAGTTTTGGAAACTTATTAGAGTAGCAAATAGTTGTATATGTGAGTGTGTATTTCCATTGCTGATGGGATGGAATAGTTTGCAAGGAAGGTCATATATGTGACAGATTCCATTATAATAGTGTGTTGGTGGCTGAGGCAGCCTTCTTCAAAGATTCAAAATCAAAGCATCAGTAGAACTTAAGTGTTCAATCACAGAATCTGACATTATTGAACCTAGAAACTGCCAAGGAAGAGCCTAGTATTTTTGTTCAAAGCCACCAGGTCTCCAGCAAAAATATTTTATAATATATGTAATTAATGTACTGACTAATTTCACAGATGGTGAGAATGCACAACTCAAGAATAGCACACAAAACAATGTAGTTCCTCATTAATATTTAAAGTGTGAAGTTTTCTTACAAATGAACTTTCTTCTCCATCTTCTTTTCTGTGGTATGGCAGATCACTGTGGTTCAAGGCCCTCTGCTTTCCAGGCTTTTTGCAAGGCCACTGCCTACATAAAATTTGTTTTCTTAAATTTGCTTAGTGGAGGGTGGAGTCTAACTGGGTCCACTTGGCACGGCAGCCACTGATTGGCCTATTGTAGCCTGCCCCAGGTGATTATGATGATGAAGAATTTGGTGGAATGAAGATTGACAGGGGAAACCGATGTACTCGGACAAAACCCACCCCAGTGGCACTTTGTCCACCACAAATCCCACTTTACCAGACCCAGGATTGAACATGGGCCGCCACGGTGGGAAACCAGCGACTAACTGCTTGAGCTATGGCATGGCCCACTACCTGCATTGGAAAATACAAACTCAAGAAGAACATACACATACATCCATGCCCCAAGTGGGTTTCAGTGTTTGAACAGTAGAAGACAGTACCTGCCTTAGGCCTTGCAGCCATTGTGATCACTATAGAAAAATGAAGAAATTAATTTTAAACTATATTTTCTTTTTCTTCAGTTAGATAGAAATTGAAGTTTTAAGAGTCAAAATTCGATTTCAATTATAAATTAATTGTGTTCAGAAATGGAGATGAATGGTATAGATTACGGAGTGCAGTTCGTCAAATGATGCTTCGGAGAAGAGAAGTCCACTACTATTTACCATTAGTGCAAGAAGTTGCAACGGATTTTGTGAAACACATCATAAGAAAGAGAGGGGAAAATGGAGAAATTGAAAATCTTTCAGATGAGGTAGCAAAATGGTCTCAAGAATGTGAGTACCAGTATTTAATACATTTCTGTAGCATGTATTAGTATTCCTGAGTGTTACAAACAATTTTGTATTAAATAGGCATGTTATGTTCAACTGTAGCTCCCCAGACGGGGATTCAATATTTCAATTATTATTGAAATAGATAAATATATAAATAAGTGTTATATTTTTCTTATTTCCAGCTGCAGGAATTGTATGCTTTGAAATGAGACTGGGTTGCTTGAGTGGAAATTTAGAAGAAGAAAGAGCTCAGGCAATGGTGAATGCGAATAAAGTTATGTTTAATTTGTCTGGGCAGTTGAAATTTTCTCTTCCTCTCTACAAATATATTTTCACACCAAAATGGAAGAAACTTGTTGAGGCTGAGGATTTCTTCTATAAGTAAGAAACACACTAATTTTACCAAAATAGAATGAAGGCAGTTATGATGGCAAGAGTCATTAAAGTTTGGATAAATTGTACGTACAAGTATAAAGAGAACCACTTATGTGCTGTCCACATATTGTCTGACTCACAATCAGGATTATGGAACGGTAACACAGGGGTTTTTTATTGTCTTCATCATGATGGGAGTGTATTCTGAAGAATTCTTGGGTGATGAAACTCCAATATGAGAAGGAAATAATTATACAAAATCATGAAAATGAACAGTTTGCAGGATAGGACAAGCTGAAGCCAGACATAGAAATATAAAAGGCTTAAACTTGGTGTTGTCAAGCTTACGATCATTCAAGTGACTAAGCTGCTGTTGTAGTACAAGTACGATAGGCATGATCTGCTTTGCAAAGCCTGGACTGAGATGACTTGTATATATTGCAAAAGCAGTAATTTTTTATAACATTCCATATGTGCTATATTTACACTTGAAAAAGCCAAGCATATTCATAAGAGACAAACCCATCTTCTTGTCGGACAAAATGTTACATGTGGACTCTGACTGCAAGGGTTCAGTTGAAAATTTATCTCTGGTCATGAGTCTCAAGGGGCTTGGCGCCGGTATGAAGTGATTGGCGGTAAACTACCAGTCGTGTAGTAACTCAGATCCAAGACTCAGCACAGTCATTCCTGGCTTCATTGACTTTCAGATCCATGTGCAAAATCTTTATTCCCACCTAGACATGCATGTGTTTTGAAATTGGGCCTCTTCTTTGATGAAGGAGGGGTTGGTCTTTCACTTCCTTCACTGGGCCTTATCATATAGCCTCCAGCCAAACGCAATAGGAAATACCTTTTCCATCAGTTCCTCATATCTGTCGCTGCAGAAACCGCTTGTCATATGTTGTTTACTGGCAGTTACCATGCAATTGATGATTTCTTCTGGCTCCAATATTCTGATTCTCAGGTATCATGTCACAATATTAAAATGAATCACAGAGAAATAGGATGGGGGGACTGCACTGGATTCATCTGGCTCAGGATAGAGATCAGTGGTGGGCTCTTGTGAACATGATAATGAATTTTTGGGTTCCATAAAATGTTGGGAATTTTAGTGGCTGAGAAATTGTTGGCTTCTCTAGAAGGACCTAGCTCCATTGAATTAGTTATTTAACTAGGCCACTGGAAACACGTTATTTTTAAGGTATGAAATTGTGCTGAGAGCATGAGTGACTTCAGAAGTGTTGGATGGAGAATTTTATGTGCAAATCAGAGACGTTCATAATATGAATATGGAGAATTTGATGATATAATAATTCATATAGAATTCCAATAAGTTTGAGTGATCTGTCAATCCATCTCCAAACTCATGATTAAATTTTCCACTAATTTATCATGTTCTGTTTTGGCTATTATTTTAATAATATACCTAGTATACTAAAGAAACAACAATAAACTTCATTAACATACTACACATCTTGTCCCAATGCTATTAATCTCTGAACACGATTTAAAAAAATACATGCTTCTTAGGATGACTTTTCATTCATTAAGATGACAGTCTTCTGGAATGAGACATTGTGTAGTCTATAGAAGAAGTTTTGTGCCCTGCAGGTGAGACAGCGGGTTTCATAAGAATGTTGTTACCTAGACCTCACATCCCAGAAGACCAAAATCTAAATATTCACCACTGAGAGAACCTGAAATCTCTTTCACCTTGATGTTCGTTGTTATTAATCTTTATGTCAGCGTTCTGAGAAGCCTAGCAGTTTTCTCACATGTATGTGCATGAGTTACGAATAACATATATTTCTGCTGCTTTAGATCAAGTCTTTATATCACCTGTACACTTTATTTTTAATTTCAGGACTGCAACTCAGTATGTGAATACAACAATAAATAAAATAGATGATTTAATACAAAGAAGTGAACTCCCAGAAGGAAAATATAATTTTATGACATATCTGCTCTCACGGAAAGAACTGAGCAGGAAGGATGTAACTGTTATAACATTTTCCTTGTTTGCAGATGGCCTAAGCACGGTAAATTGTAAACAGATTTAAATTATAAATTCCTTTACTCAAAAGATCCTTTCAAAGAATGTATGTTATGTCTAGTTAAACCAATGCAGCACAGTACTTGGGAAGCTGATAGTATTGAAGCTGGTCAGGAAATCCCTTGCCTTTTATGGAATCTGAAGATTTATTACCATGCTCACAGGGGCCATATTAATCCAGTCCACACCTTCATATCCTAGGTAGTTCTTTAACATTCAATTTAATACCATCCTTGCTTCAATTCTTAAGTCACCCAAGTGCTCTCTACCTTCCAGGTTCTCCTACTAAAATTTTATATGCGTTTCTGAACTCCTCCATGCATATTACTAGTACTGCCCTATTACACAAATAATTATACTTTAAATTCCATATTATGACAGTCAGATGATAATATTTTTTTTTAACCTAGTAACACCACTATGTATTATATAGCCCATGCCATAGCTCAAGCGGTTAGTTGCTGGCTTCCCACTGTGGTGGCCCGGGTTCGATCCCAGGTCTGGCCAAGTGGGATTTGTGGTGGACAAAGTGGCGCTGGGGCAGGTTTTCTCTGAATACTTCGGTTTCCCCTGCCAATCTTCATTCCACCAATTGCTCCACAATCACCCTCACCTATATCATCTGGGGCTGGTACAATAGGCCAGAAGTGGCCGCAGTACAAGGGACTTAGTCCCACCCCACTAGCAATAAAAAAAATGTATCACATAGATATTATTGCCACATAGATATGCTGTATTGCATTCAGCTGGCACCCTAGAAATTTGTTACAAAGACAATGAAACAGATTATGAATGGAATTATTATGAGTGCATTGAATTTGGGGAGTGGTAGCCAATAATCAATTAAGGATTTTTTAAGATTATGATCTGATGGATTTGATGCTATATAGTTTAGTAGATAGGTTACACAGTTCCCTGAAGATGGAGATACTAGTTTCCCCCGAAGTGTTGAAATGTCCAGTAAACTACAAAATGCCACATTGGAGGAGATACTTAACACTCACCACTATGGGAACTTCAGTTCTCATGGAATCTGTTATCTTCCCATGTTCTATCTAAAACCTGAATATTAAGGTATAAAGAAATCCTAATTTAAGGCGGGGCGGGGGAGCAGTGGATCTAAACATTAAACTGAAGAAAAAGATGGAAGAAAATATAACATGTGTCTATTAACTTTGGATCACTGAAACTGAATGTCAATGAGATAAACTTTGAATACAGGATACTAAATGGGGATTCCACTGTATATGAAACTGTAATTTCACTCATATCATTATATAAGGGTTAAATGTAATTTCTCATTTTACAAGAATTATGATGGTATTTGAGAACAGAGTGCTAAGGAAGATATTTAAACCCAGGAGAGATAAAGGTACAGGTAACTGGAGAGAACACCTTAGTAACAAATTTCTTAATTTGTACACCTCACATAACATTTTTAAGATAAATAAATGAAGAAGAATGGTATGGGTAGAAAACATAACATGCATATTGAATGCAAAATGCTGATTTGGAAACCTGTAAGAAGGAAACTACTTGGAAAACCTATTTATAGGTGAGATTCTTATATTAAGTTTAACCTTTGAGAAATACAGTATGAAATGTGATGTAAATTGAGCTGGATCAAAAGGGAATTCAGTGGTTGACTTTTGTGAAGATGGTGGTGAATCTTGTATACCTAAAATTGAGATTTCTTGATAATCTGAAAATTATAAATTGTACAGGGAGACCTTGTACCATTGTGTTAGTTACTTCGGGTAATATCTGAGAAATTGTAAAATGAATTCTCTATTTTATTGTTAAAACAAATCTGAAATTGGAGTCTTATATTTATCTTCACTATGAATAAAGAATACCAGGAATTAATTAAATAATTTTCCTGGGGAGTAAAGTGCGACCGGCGCGTAAGGCTGACAACCTAACCGCCATCTTTGAGCCGATTGTCTAGATAATGTGGGACCCTCGATGCCTCACAAAACTATGGGCCTTCACGGAAGGTTACAGGGATAGCTTTACTTTTTTTTTACTTTATGAATACAGGCTATGTATTTACCCTGGTTTATAATGGTATTTTTCTATCAATTACAGAACTGTTATATCTTTGTGGCACATTTATCTAAAATATACTGTGAAATATCTTGTCAGACTGTTCCAGCTCTTCTGTATAATTTATACTGTTTGGCGACCAACCCTGAAATCCAAGAGGAAGCTTATCGTGAAATTCACAGATACTTAGAAAGAGATGAACCCATTACATACACTACCATTAACAAGCTGTCATACTTAAAAGCAGTCATGAAGGAAACATTCAGGTATGAAAGCCAGGCATATCAAATCTATCAAGATTGTATTTTCCTGAAGTCATCTTTATTTACTTATTTATTTGTGATTATCAGATAAATAATGTTAAGTGTTTTGGCCAGAACTTAGAATTTCAATGCTCAAATGGACTGGATGTGGAATTCCAAATTTTTCAAAATTTGTGTGGCAGCATCAAAAGAATGCTACTGGGAGAAATCAGAATAGAGACCATTCTAAAATTGTGTAAAGCGATGATTGGACTGATGCTGTGCTACAGAGCAGCAAATATGAATAAAAGCAAAATATATTTATTTTTTTGTCATGTAGTGAGTTACAGAAGATCTAGCTGAATTCACAATCAAGACATAAGAAAATAATTCAATATATTTTTCATAATTGAAAAATTAATAAATTCCCAAAGAAACTGGCATGATGTTGGTAATGGGGAAACATCAGTTTGCCTAAATATTCTGCATGTATGCTTTGATGGGTAATCAAAAACGAAGAACAATGAAAGGATGGAAAGATCAGATCCACAAAATCTCTTTTCCAGTTTAAACTGACTGATAAATTTACTTCTTGATGATGATAGGTTATTTAATGGATTCTGTCCACAGCTGAGGTGGATCAGTGATTAAATACTCCTGGTCTAATTTTAAATAGTATTCTGGCAGTTTCCTGCAAGTGACTGAAGACAATCATGAGAAATTTACTCAGGATAGTCAGTCTCTGAACCAAGATATAAACCAGCAGTGTTGTTCATATGTCTGTTATTTTTTAAATCCAAATACAGATAAAACAGGAAGATACCTTGTTTGTCATGTAATGACACTATGAGTATCAGATTATATAGTGTTGATAGGACAATTAGGGAATATGGAAGAGATAGTGACATGAGAATTGCCAGGGGAAACTGAAGTATTTGTAGAAAATCTGCCCAAAAGCCACACCATCCACCACAAATTTCATATGACCTGAACTGGAATCAAACCTGGGCCACTGTGGTAGAAAGCAAGTGGCTGACCGCCTGAGCCATGGCATGGCCAGGAAGGTAGTACCAAGCAGGTTAGCATGGAGGTAATGCATCTCATGTATTATTGAAAAGTACATTTTTTTAAACTTACTGCTGTGAAAATTTTGCGATCATTATTCTCAGTATTTTCAGGTAAATACTGAGCAAGCTATGTCAAGGAGGCCATTATTACTCCTTCAAAATTATTCTTTTCTTACCATCATGAGCTTCATTGCTACATTCCATATAGCCACCAATTTCCAAAATTTAATTATATAAATTATGCAAGAATCAGTATGGAACACAATTTACTTCCATTTATCAGGAAACATTCTGATATTTCTTTGAATCCTCAGCCTACCATACCTACATCAAATAAGGGATTTAGAGTAATTAATATATTTCATAAGCATGTTGTATATATTGTNTAAGGAACACCCTCCCGAAGTTTGGCACATTCCTCCTGGGACACCCTGTATATATTGACAACTTACAAGATTCAGNTATATTTCATAAGCATGTTGTATATATTGTCACATAGTATGTGTTACTGTAGATGGGGTTTGGATTGGTGAATACGTGAATATATATTGACAACTTACAAGATTCAACAACAGATAATTGTAACACTATTGCTATTTCCACATTTAAAAGTTCACTAGAGCATACAGTCTAGTTTAATGCTAGATATTTCATAGTCACAGCTTGTACAGTGGTTATTCTTCTGTCTCTGGCTCAAGTCCTACATTCACAGGCACCAATACAGAACAGCCTATCAACTGATTTTGTCGTTTGCTTATGACATCTCGGCACAGACCACGAAGAAACATTCCGTTTCCATTATTGTAGTCCAATTGTTGCATTATTAAGAATCTGCTGCGTAGCAACGGGAACGTGTTTACTGAGCTGTTGCCCAGAAACGACCCTGGTATATCCTCCCATCTCCTGGTCGTTGCATGCTACAATGTAAACAGCACAATAAAATAAGACATTTGATAACGCTGTAAGATGAGAATATTGCTTAAATCACTGGAATAGTTATTAGTTTGCTGCTGTAAAAACATTTACTGTATGCATGCTGTATTGACATGGCATGAATGTGAGCTGCTGCCTGCTCACTTCATGTTCAGGGATATCACTGTTTTATCACATCTCTCAGCACAGTTAAATTAACTACAAGATTCTGTACACATCTCAGATATATCTTTGCCATCAACAGCACCTTGTTCTTAAAATATTTCTGGCTTATATAATTGAGAGAATATATCCAAACTCATTCTTCTACATTCATAGTCATCAAGATAGCTTCTTATATATGCCCAGGTATGACAGTCAAACTTCTTCAGTCACATAGTTTATTTATAGAACTTTTAGTTTGAATTAAAAGTTATAATAAATTAATAATTTTAATAGTTATAATAAATTAAAATAATAATCATGAACGTCTGAAACTATGCTTCATTATGAATTTCATGTATTTGTAAGCCAGTTGAATATTACTGATCTTTAATTTTCTGAATCCATTGTTGGTTGGTTGGTTTCCAATGGCTGGATTTGGGATCATTTAACCCATTTTGCTTCTTGCTTCCCAATAGTGAGCACTCAAGTTCTTGCTTTGATGCATCTTGAAGAAGTTTGCACTTTTCTTTTGAGAAGCTTTGCCAGGTTTGTTGCTCATTTTACTCATTGTTTCATTTCTGATTATTCAGGTTATATCCCATTGGAACAGAGATTTCAAGAATTATTCCAAAGGATTTGGTTCTTTCTGGTTATCATGTGCCTGCAAATGTAAGTTTTTTGGTTTAAACTTTTGTGTATTGTGTTTAGTTTTACTTGTACACATTTGTGGCCAGGTAGTGGGTCAAAATATGATTGGTATTTCTGCCTTCTATCTTAAGATAAAAACTATATTGTTAAGCACAGATTTGTTTACCAGTGCAGNCCCCAAAAGATATTCTGAAACATCTGGCTTTAGATGTTCAGTTTTGTTTATGTTCCTGTGCATTTACATATATTCTGCTTGCTATTAGTCTTTTTGCTGCTGTTTTGAGAAGATATTGCNATTATGAGATGAGTTCTTGATCTCTATGGGCAGTTTATTAAACATTTTTATACCCGCGTAGTAAACTCCTTTTTGAAAACTAGTTAAGTTAGCTTGAGGTAGATAAAGATCTTGTCTATGTCTGGTATTTATAGCATGAGAGTCAATATTTGATGAAAAAAGATGTTTATTCTGCAATACAAATATTAACAATGAAAATATGTATTGCGATGCAAATGGTAAAATGTTTAACTCTTTAAATATGTTTCTACACGAAACTCTGTTACCATATCCCAACATCGCTCTGATGGCTTTTTTTTGGAGAAGAAAAACACTAGAACTATGGGAAGAATTTCCCCAAAAGATATTCTGAAACATCTGGCTTTAGATGTTCAGTTTTGTTTATGTTCCTGTGCATTTACATATATTCTGCTTGCTATTAGTCTTTTTGCTGCTGTTTTGAGAAGATATGTTCCATATTTTCTACGAAAGAGAACATTTCTAAGGCATCATACTAGTACTTGCGTCATCAAGAAGCGCTCATGTGTTGCTTGGAGTGCATTTGTGTATCAGTGGATGTATTGTACTGTGTAAACATTTCTGTTGATGAAAAGTGCATTTTCTTTATGGTTTCTTACAATGAAAGCTTACTATCCACACTTTCTAGTTGCACTTATTTAATAGCTCAGGACAGAAAGTACAGTTTATAAATTACCTCATTTTTAGAAAACCACAAGAAATACTGTATGTTGCCACTGATTTTGTTTAATCATTAATAATAAGTTTCAGAAATCAGCAAAAACAACTGGAATAAATACTGTCATCCCATTATATTTTAATTTAATATACTGTATGTGAATTTTGTTTATTATAATTTTGTGTCCCATCAATTTTTCACTCAGTAATACCATTCCACACAGTAAGCATCTCTTTCTTGTACTGACAGGAATTAAATTTCTTTTTATGAATACTGTTGTTGGTGTTAACCTTTTGTACAGTTCATATTGTCACATATCCTGGTAACATGATGAGTAATTAATGGGTTCTGGATTAGACAAAGCAATATATTTGATACTCACCAGGTGGAACTACACTTATTTGTAACACATTCTTACTGTAACTATAACACTTCATAACTATGAACAATGATAACACCACATAAACTAAAGATTTTGTTTCTGACTTCATATTCTGTGTTCTGTTCTGTTGTAGTCTGTTTTATTCTGTCTTCTATTGGTCATTTCTCTTCCTGAGGTAGATTCTGGTTGAACCGTATGGAAATCACTTCCTTCAACAGCAGAGTTATTGCATTCATCGCTGTTATTGTGCTTTGGAGGTTCATTGTCACGGATATCGGCTTTTTATCAGTTAAAGTTAGACTGCACATATCATAACCATATTAACCGAAGTTCTATAGTTGACTGTGTTACCTAGGAAATGTGTTTACTGAGCCATTGCCTAGCTATACATGTTGCAATATTATACAATGACGTGGCTGCTGTGAACTGAAAAATAAAGATGCCCCAAACAATATAATTTCAGTTGGTTTATGCCACTGTAGTCCAAAGTTCCCTGTTTCATGTGGAAGATGCATTTCATATGAAATTCAGTGCAGTTTAAGGTGCATAGCCTTTACCTACACAAAGTTACACAGTAGTGACTAAAGTACATAGCACTAAATGATTAGACACTGAACTCCTTGCATTCCGCTGTTGATGTAACAGACAATGAATAATATACCTTCAATCCATAGCACTCCAACCTTTTATTCCAGATGTTCCTAGTATGAATCTCAGCTAGATATTGAATATCCTGACAGATGCTCTTTGTAAGTTTCTTCAGAACCTTGAGGCAAATGCTAGGATGATATATGGAATAGGTCTTAGATTTAAGGGATATGGATTACATGGCATGGTTTATAAAATAAATTTGGATTCTTGAATCATGATCAGACTTTTCTGATTCATTTAGTGGTTTTATGGGCCAACAAAATAAAAATGTCTTCTTCGGGAAAATCATAAATATATATTATAGACACACATGGTAAAAATGAATTCTATTCTTTTGAATTGAAAGAATATTAATAGTACTCGTATCATGGCATAATGGGACAGCATGGCCAAGTAGAAATACATACTGCAGGAAAATGGTCTCTGTTTCATACAGTAAAGGTTAATTGTTTAGTCATGCATGTTAAATTTACAGTCTTTTGCAATGCGATGCCTTATACGTTGTAGTTTGGTACATAAACACAAATATTTTCGAGGAACCTGCTGGCTCCATCTTCAGTGCCTGAGGATGGAGTCAGCAGGTTTCTCTGAATTATTTGTACTTATTTACAAAATTAAATCCAAGAAGAATGTAATGTTAACATTCATCGCTGGGAAAACATTAAAGTTTCTGTAATTTATATAATTGTGTTTCAGTGTTGATTCTTATTTATCAATGTCTGTTCCAGACTCATGTTAATTTAAATCCACATGTACACTTTAAGTCTGAAAAATATTTCCCAAGAGCTTCTGAATTTTTGCCAGAGCGTTGGATGCGAGGAGGAGAATCCAGCGATATTCATCCATATCTCCTTACACCATTTGGCCATGGTGTACGAACATGTGCAGGTAATGCGTGTCTGCTATATGACTGTTATCTAATGCATATGGCATCTAATTTGATATGAATAAACAAGGTTCTTCTTTTCAGATAATTTAATTAAAATGTGCTTATTAATTTCTTCCAAGAATTGCATCCCTCCCCCATACAGGGCATAAATATAATACACAATATTTTGTACAATTTTGTTTAAATATATGTATAATTATCAGAGGTATGAGGCAAATAAGCGCACTATCAGAGAATTATACAAGGAGTTCTGGGTAGAATTTGTACAGTCTCTTTTCCTGTTCTGATCTATACTTGTAAATCCTTTGTTGTTACTTTATCCCTATGCACCAAAGTGCACGGCATGCTTTTTGGATGTATGGTGTGGGAGCCAGAATTTAGGTAGAGAGGATGGTGTGGGTGGGTTTTTATGATCCATGGAGTCATCAAGTCTCTCGTAAGTATCGATGTTCAGGAAGGGGATGGTGGACATCTATTTCCATGTCCATGTACTTAATATTTTGATGGTCAAGGAAACCTTCCAGCTTCTTGGGTCCATGGCATCAGATGACTAACTCCATGGAGCAGGATTTTTTTGCGAAGCTAAGAATCACTGAGCTAGTCAATGGATCCCCTACCATTTATGGAACCAAAAATTTCATGAAAGTATTCACAGAAGCTGCCATTGGACCTCTTTCTGAGAGAGATTAGTCATCTCCATTCTCTCACATCCTATTTCTTTAAGAATACAATCTTCATGATTTTAATGTGGATTTTCCAGGCACAGAAAATCAAATGCAGTGGATTCATGTGTTGTGTGTGAAAGGAAGTAAAGGTACCAGATACTTGGATGCACATTTAAATTTGTTGCAAATGAGTAGGAAATGAAAGTTACATTCATAATATAGCCCACCAAAGAAAGACAGCATAGAACATGATTTGTAACATACCCACAAACTCAAAAATCTGAATGAATAAAAGCCACTTTCAACCTAATAGTATTATACATTTAAATTGGCATCTGATTTCATATTTGAAACAGGAAATGAATCAAACCCAAACATTATAAGTTCTAATTACAGAAAATTAGCCCATGAATCATATTCAGAAGGCTTTTTGTTCAAAAACATTGGCACAATATTATAGCTGAAATTTAATATAATTTTTCGCGAGTCTCGATAAGGAAATATTCTGAGAGTGCAATGAACTAGGATATGGCTACTTTCTTCCCCTTTCTTGTCAATTTACTCTTCAGAATCTTAACACGGGCCATCTAATTTTCTCTACAAGAATCCTGGCTACCTAACAGGCATACGAGTCTTATTATTTTCTCACACTTTTGCTTTGTCAGTCATGTTAGTGGCATAACCATTGCTTTGGGACACATACCTCTGCTGGCACTCCCTTGGTAATTAATATACCATAGTTACTTACCCCCCTCGTTGGTGTCTCCACCTTATCGTGGTGAGGGGGTTTGAGTATGCCAAGGACCCTGAGAGCTATACCAGCGGTAGCGTAGCTACTGGCAGGGCCTCCCTTGCTGGACAGGTCAAAGGGTAGGCATCAGACGAAGAGAGACACCAAAAACCAAAAACTGATGCCGGAAGCAGCGTCATCAGCAGCGACTTGAAGCACAGAACAAATGATGCTCGAGATGGTTCAAGTTCGTATAGCAACAGGCGTGACCAGAGTGGTTTGAACGGCTGTTGTACTGCGATGTGGAAAGCAAATGGAAAAACTACCACATTATCACTTTTCCTGGATAGTCTCTTTCCAAAAACAGAAGATCACATTAAGTGGAGGAACTGTTTTGGAAGAGACTGTGGACCTGTCATCTGACAGTTACTGATCAATCAATCAGTTACTTACAGAAATGTTTTATGATTATTTTCCCTTGAAAAATGAAAGTCTTTCCCAGTTTCTCCAGTTTCACAATATTGGTATATCCTCAATTTAGTCGTAAATGTAAATGTTGATGTTCTCTTAGAGCCATGGGATTATAAAAAATGGATCCGTTTTAGATAGATAATTCAATAAAGATGTGTGTGTGTGTGTATACACATATATATATACCTATATATACGTGGTAGAGTCATCAAGTTCGTGGACTGTGGTTTTATCACATCATATTACAAGGTATTCATATACACTTATGCAGATCCACATTGGCCCTCAAAATAGTTGCCATTGGCCGCTATGCAAGTCTGCGAATGATATATATACAGGGTGTCCCAGGAGGAATGTGCCAAACTTCGGGAGGGTGTTCCTTATGTTAAAGTATGCCGATATAACCCAAAACACCTATGTCCAAAGTTGAACGGTTACGGAGATAATGGCCCAAGAAAAGTGTGGTCTTCTGGCAGGTCCAAGCACTGTACCTCGCTGTACCTCTCAGCTGAGAGCCCTTATCTATGTTTGTCCTTGAGTGCGATGATA